ACTACTGAGTTCCGGTGCCGTCTCTGGAAGTTTCGACGAATAAAAGAACAGGGGTAAAACTGATTTCCTAACACTACCCACTGTTACCACAGGTTTGTTCAGAGTCATGGAATTTTGGGGGTTTCATTCTAATATTATTTTATAATATAAAGCACCTTTGGGTGATTGTCGTTGTGAATTGGTGCTATATAAATAAAATTGAACATTTTCACCAGTAATTCAACAATAATTGTCAGTTAAATGTACTTGTGAAGCTTAGGCAGTGGGATACATAGAGAAAAGACTTCTTAGCTTCACAGTTTCATAAAACTATTCTTTAAATTTAAAGCTTGAGGACTGTAGCTGATTTATTGTACATTTTGTACGCTTGACGACTGAGGAAACAATCTGTCTTTATCTGCTGGAGAGTTTCCATACCGCAGAACAAGATACTGTCAAGCACGTAAAACAAACCACAATTTAACTGAAACTTTTTAACTCTTCACACACTGTTCATCACAATGCTCTTTAACAACATCCTCTCAGTGGCAACTTCATCCCTGTCATCAGCTTGGAACATCTGATGGCTGTGGTTTTTCCTTTGACGCTATGCCATCTTAGCCCCTAATCCTGTACCTGAAAAGCATCTGCGCTCGTCTGGCTCATTTTGCTGGTGGAGAAACTACAGACAATGTGAGTTTTTGAAAGCGTTTAAACAATCTTGAATTTCTCAAGGCTCTAAGAGTCATAAAAAGGTTAATCTGCATCATCAAAGCTTTAAATAGCAAAAGAATCTAGGCTGTTTTATGAGAATTCATTCACTTTTTGCTAATTATTTCTAACATTTTATGAAATAAGCTTATTTGTGAAAAACAGGAAGTCTCAAGTTTACATGTCTCTATGCAAAATCCAAATCGAGAGCTCATAACACAACTACTGGGAAAAAAAGGAAATAGCTGGCTCCGTAACTGTGGAAACACTTTTGTGCGTTGGTGTAGACCTGCAGCCTGTTCGGTTTGTCATTTTCAAAAACTAGTTTATGGCTGTAAAATAGTAAAAAGAAAATGGTAAAAACTGGTTTTAATGCTACCTGTTTTTCATTGGGAGTTGGGAAAAATACAGCTTTTACAGTTAACCTAGGCCACGGATGTTAATAGTATTGGTTCTAAATGTTGTCAGATTGTATAAAAAAGTGTGTTTATTATTTGTTTCATTTAAAAATGTTATAACTATTAACGTCAGTGGCCACGATTGAATTGCACCACCAGATTTCCTGTTGCAATATTTCACACTCCCTAGTCTAATCTACCCTCACTTCACACAGATAATCATCAGAGAGTGGAAGGTTTGCTGCTCAGCTGCAATTCAGTTAATAAAGGAAGCAGAAACTTCATCATGAACGCATCAAATGTCACTACAGAGGACAGGGTTTACGCTGGGGTCTTTGGCTGCATTATGGTGATAGGTCTGCCTCTCAACGTAGTCGCACTGTGGATTCTTCTTCGCCACCACAGCCTCCAATCGCCCAACGCTGTCTTCATGGTCAACCTGGCAGTATCAGACCTGCTGGTCATCATCTCTTTGCCCATGAGGATCTACTTTCACGCCACCCGCAGCTGGCCTCTGAGCAATATGGCGTGCCAATTCATCACAATGCTCTTTCGCAACAACCTCCGCTCCAGCGCCTTCTTCATTACTTTCATCAGCGTGGACAGACTTCTGGCTGTGGTTTATCCTCTGAGGTCACGCCATCTTCGAACTTCATCCAATGCCTGGAAAGGAGCAGCAGT